ATGTCAATGGTGTTGTTGGATATTTGGAGAGAAACAAGGCTTTTACAATTTTTGAGAATAAGTATTCTAACTAAGCATGAAAAGTGAGATAGCATTAATTATTCATAATATACGACTGGTTAGTCTGCTAAGTGTAGAAGATAAAAGACTAGATTGTATACACCTTCACTAGTTGATATAAACCCTAGAGGACATTAGTATACTATTGTATAGTTTTTCCTTGAACACTGTGAAAGCATTTTTTATGTTATATCAATAGATTATTTTTAAAAATGATATATTTCATATGATAGAAGAAAACTAGTATGCATTGCACATTGCTAAGCTATAATTTGATGAAGTGGGTAAATCACATGGTTTACCCAACAAAATTATTTTTGAACTTGATGTAAAAAAGAAAATAAAAATTATGTTGGGTAAATCATATTAACTTATGACTTAGAAACCTCTAATTTAAAATAGTTATACCAATAATAATTTTAAAGGTTTAAAAGATAGTATTTATAGATTTATAAATATGTGTTATGAATGAGAATTAATAAGTGATTATGAGAATATATTTTTTATTGTAAGATTTTAAACTAAATAAATAATTTATTAAATAAAGATTAGTTTACTCTAGTTAATTAACATAATTAAAATTATTAATAAATATGCATGTTTCTTTTAGGCTTCAAATTAGAGTCGAGGTCTACGGAAAATCAAAGAAAAAATCAATCGACTTTGAGGTGAGTACTTGTACTTTTAACCTATGATAATATTTTATTTCTTAACTATTTTGGATTATTAGTTACTAGTGCATGTATAAGCTTTATTATGATTAATATTGTTTTTTACAACTGTTTATATCATTGTGAATGATATTTCTTACATTCTATGTTATTACAGATTATTTAGGAATATATATAAAGTATATTAAAGTGAATGAGATGAGTATATGAATGATATGAACTATAGAGTATGCTTATGTGTGAAGATTGACTATTATGGAGTTCACAGTCTCATGGTACTAGCGGGGGACACTAAGGTACCAGTGCACATAAAAAGAAAATATTATTGATATTGATGTACCTTAATTGATACAATTTTTAAAAGGTGCTCCTATGACGGTTGTATATTGGTTAAAAAATTATAGATATATAAATATTATAGTAAGATATAACTAATGTTTAGAATCACCTTAAATGATTATATTTGAGAGTATAAATCATCAAATACTTTTATATTGATTTATGTTATGTTTAACTAGCATACAGATCATTTCTTTCTCGTTATATTACTGTAGTTTAGATACAAGAGTAATCACTAGCTTTTGTAATTCACTATTGTTTTAAATTAATTTTTTCTGGTTTAAGCTTTTGTTTAGAAGGGATTAATAAAGAAGTGAGTGTTTATAGAAGATGCGGGCAATCTGAAGTAAGATAAATTTAACTATATTATTTTAATTTATTTTTTGTAGTTACCCTTTCATTTATTTTTTGATGATTAAATGAGCAATAACAATGAAATAAAAAAATTTATTTCACCGCCCACGCCTTAGAAATTTAAAGCCTCCAGGTCAAGTCATGACAGATGTGGTATCATAGCAGAAGATTTATGATTAAGTAATACAAATATTATGAAATAACTAATAGGATAATTACAAGGAAATTAATAAAACATTCAAAGTTTTAAATTAACCCTAACGAAGCAATTATTTTTTTTTAGGCAATTGGATACACATGAGATTCAGAGAGAAATGTGGTAGGAAATGAGGAATTACCGCCTGTTATAATTGTGAACACGAATACTCTAACCCATACGATGGTTGCGATGATATAGTTGATCTAGAAGTTTAAAGTGCAGTATAATTGAAGTGATACAATTGTTGTGGATAAGTTCTTGAAGATATTTTGAGATCTGCTTCACCTATTGTTCAAGGGAAATAAATATCTGATTAAATAAAATAACTAGCTGATTTTGATAGAAAATATACTAGACAATATGACATGTCCAGATGAAAGAAGAGTATCATTAGCTACATTTGTGATGGATTAAGAAGTTGAAAGGTGGTGGTGTTGGCAGCATTAGTATAGGCTAGGGACTTACACAACATGATGGTAAATTGGGCAAAATTTGTGGAACTTCTTAGATAGTGGTTTGTGTCTCTATCCGATTGAAGGCAGATGCAATACAATTTCATCCAATTGGTATAAAGAGAGTAGACAATCATGCGTACGAAGCAGAGTTTACTGCATTTTCAATGTAGACTGTAGAAAACAAGTATTATATGTTTTTTTTTTGTTGTATTAAAAGATTTAATCAGACAATTAGTGTCATTGGGGATAGATGACTATTCAACACAAGTGGAGCAGGCCAGACGAGTAGAAATTGATTTTCAGATTGCACAGATAAATGTATAAGAGGAAGAGTATGGATGAAGGAGAGCATGTGCTTCTATCAAATGGATCCATTGGGAAGAAGCTGAAGTTATTTTTATATGATTCAAGCGTTACAAGTGGGGAAGGCAAGAGATGCAAGCGTTTCATTGTTACCAAGAGGAATGAAACTCACCTTTCGAAGCGAAATGTCTGTGAAATTTCGATAAGAGAAGTAGAGAGGTGTGCGAAAGAGAGTAATGCTTGAAGTGATACCTTCGAACAAAGCCAGGCAAGAGTAGCGGCCCGAGTGAAAACAAGGATGACAACACGAGTGAACTAAAACAAGGAGAACGTGTGAACAAGCCAAGGAGAAGGGGATCAAGGAGCTAAGACAAAAGCAAGAATAATGACGACTCTGTAAGCTTGCACATCTTCTATGCCTCTCCTTCTAGCAAAGAGCATAGGAGGAAGGTGAAGCTAGTGAGAGTGTCGTACGTGCAGGTTTGCATGATGAGAAATACATGTCGCACGAGAGGAAGCTAAAGGGAAGAGTTGCTTGCAGGTGAGTCTTGTGAGCAACTTGAGTGTGTGTGAAGGTAGCTGCGACCAAAGATAGAAAAGATGTTGGAGCCGCACGTGCAGTGAGGGTCGCGAGGTATTTTGTTTCTAATATTTAAGTTTGATGTTTTTATATGCGTTTTTGGGTTATTTTTATTTCAAAATGATTAATAATGAAACATATGTTTTAACTTTTGACTTAGGAAACCTCTAATTTTACTTAGTAATAATAATAAAAATAATTTCAAAGGTTTAATTTAATAAAAAAGAAGAAAAAATTAAGCAATAAAATGATTAGTCAAGTGAAATCGGGATAATTTAATGAAATAATAAATTTTAGAAAATAGAATTTATAGATTTATAAATATTTGTTATGACTGAGAATTAATGAGAGATTATGAGGATAAATTTTTTAATTGTAATATTTTAAATATAATAAATATTTTACTAAATAAAGATTATTTCACATTACTTAATTAATATAATTAAAATTACTAATAAATATACATGTTTATTTTAAACTTCAAATTGGATGAGTCGAGATCTAAGACAAATCAAGAACCAATCAATTGATGCTTATGTTAGTATTTTATCTCTTCACAACCATTTTGTATTAGTAGTTACTCGTACTTACACAAGCTTTATTTTGATTTTCATGCTCTTTTGTTTATTAGTCATATCATTATAAATGACATTTTTTTACAATATCTACTATGGCTCATTATTTAAGAATATATAAAATATATTGAAGTGAATTGACAAGTATATAAATAATATAAGAATGATTTAGTGAGTTCACTCTCTTATGATACTAACGAGAGATGCTAATGCATTTGTGCATATAAATGAAAATTGTTATTGATATACTTTAATTGGTATAATTTTTAGACGGTGCTTCTATGATGGATGTATACTAATTAAAAAGATATAAATATGTAAATGATATAGCAAGACAACTAATGGTTAGAATCACTTGAATGATCATATTAGATAGTATAAACCATTAAATGCTCTTATGTTGATTCATTTGATGTTTAACTTGTATGAATATTCTTTTTTTCCCGTTATATTATTGTAATTTAGAAGTGAGTATTCACTGGCTTTTACAGTTCATTGTTATTTTAAATTAATTTTTTCATGTTTAAGATTTTATTTAAATATGAGTAATATAGAAGGGAGTGTTTATAATTGATGCGTGTAGCCTGAATTAAGGTAAATTTAATAGTATTATTTAAATTTACCTTTTATATTGGCTCTTTCATTTGTTTTTTTTGGATGAAAGTAGAAAATGAAAATAGAAAATTATATTTTATCGTCCGACTGTCATTCTCACTTTGGAAATTCCAAGACCCAGGTTCGGATCGCGACAATAGGAGGATCAAACTTTTTTCTAGATTTGCTTGATGAATATCAAATTTTAAATTTGTTAAGATTCGAATCTATCCAATCTATCAGTCTTGTTGAAAATCTTCTTATTTATTCTCATCAGTGGCATTGCAACTAATATTAATTTTTCTGTTGTATGTTTTTGTTTTTTGATTATTTGGTTACCTTCTTTTAGTGGGTTCATTTTAATTATTATTTCTATTCTGAGTGATGTTGGCTAAGAAGATTTGTATTGATCGAGAAAGATATTTTCTAGCTTAGGCTAGTTTATTTGGTTGCGCAATTTCAGTTTTGATGTACATAAAGTTAATTCGCCTAACGGTTTGATCAAATTATGGACTCCTGAAATTTTTACCTAAGGTTTAATTTGTCATAATCAAAATTTTCCAAGCTAAGCAAATTAATGTATTGAGCTTTTTTGGTTTTATTCATTAAGGCTGAGGTTGCGGCGGTGTTCCTTGGTGTTATTTGCAAGTTTGTTGTTGGAATTCTGCCTTTTTGATTTGCAGTTTGCCTTAATCTTGATTTAAATAAATCAGGAGTTGTTACCATACAAACAAGCTCACTCCATGCTTCCCGTTATACATGGATTTGGCAATGGGTTTATTCTTACTTTTATTTCAAAAGTGATGTTTGAAAAATTGATTTTGTGGAATTTAACTTTTTGTCTGACTGAATTTATTTATTTTCAAACAGGTTCCATTTCTTGATATTTGCAGTACACTGTTGAATCCCAGTCTACCACTCACCAGTTTGGACTATGAAGAATTTGGTGATCCCAGAAACCTAGCCAACTTCGAGATAATTCGAAAATATTCACCCTATGATAATATATGCTTTGGTGCTTGCTATCCTTCCTTGCTGGTGACAGCATCATTTCATGACTCAAGGTACTTGTTTACATACCACTCAGTTCCTATGTTTTTACATATCTGACACCTAGACTTTACTTTTTATATTTTCACCAACGAAATCTTTCGTATCACGTCACAAATACCGCTATTTGAATTCTTAAAAAACTAAATACATCTTTTTCAAGCATAATTAAGGATGCATATGTAAAAATTGAAGTTTAGGCGTTAGATGTGTAAATACATTAGTGTAAATCTTCTAACTTTATTGCGAACAACAAATAATGGTCCACCATAATGTTGTGTACATTTATTCTTTCTCATTTTTATCGAGGTTGGGAAATCAGATTGGATATCGAACCGGAAAAAAGTAAATGTTTGAGGTTCAATGATTTCAATCAGGGTTGAACCGAATGATGCAATACATTTTAAAATTATTTTAATATAATTTAAAAATAATAATGATTCAATAATATTATTTTAATTGATTAAATAAATAATAACTTAACTTAAGCTACTTCACTTCTTAATATTTTGAATAAAATTCTACTTCAAAATTTTGGGATATGACAATTTCTTATTATTTTTAATGTAAATATCTTATATCTACTCATCAAATATAAAAGGGCCGGTGTCTTAAAACTTGGACCGGTTTGCCAGCTCAACCTAGGTTCCTGCCCCATTCTGACCTGGTTCTATGCAAAAATAATTTTGAGTTTGGACCAAAATAGTCGAACCGACCTATCCGGTCTTTAAAACAATGGTTTTTATAATCGTGTTCCTCAATTTAGTTCCTTCCATTCTTCAGGATATATTTATTTGATACATGACTTCAAAACTTAAATATTTGTGTAACTATGGGGATGATTGAATTGCCAACATGGTATATTGAGCTAGTTGCTTTCTTTTGTGATGTTGCTTAATTTGTTCTTCTTTTTCATCAGGGTAGGAGTCTGGGAAGCTGCTAAATGGGTGGCAAGAGTGAGAGAGAAAACATGCCACACTTGTTCTCGCTCGGTAATTCTGAAGACAAACATGACGGGGGGACATTTTGGCGAGGGTGGTCGTTACAGTCATTGCGAGGATACTGCTTTTGAGTTTGCATTTTTTATCAAAGTCATGGGATTACTTGACGAGGAGGAGAAATAATGATTCTGATAGATGTTGATCTTAGTTATAGATTATTCTTAGAAGAGTTAAATTTTACTTTTTAGTTGTCAAAGATGTCATCAGATATTAATCAATTGCCAGTTGTCCAATCTTCTTGTTGTATTTCATTCTTAAAATATAAAGCCTAATCAAGTCAATTTTGGTTTTTGGTTGGGGGATTGAATGTTAAACTTGCTTATTTTTGAAGAGAGAAGGAGAGATATACTCAAGCTATGAGATTCATAGGTTATAAAGAGCATTTAGGCATGGGGGAAGGCTATGTTGAGTTGAGAAACCTAAGATCATTTGTCTCTTATCCTTATCTTTGCACTTCCCTTTCCAAGCATAATGTCACAGTGATATTATGTAGAATGAGATATATATATGTTATTATAAATAAATATACATATTAGATTTTTTTTTATTTGTTGAATAAGTTTTAAAGTACCCAATTCAAATTATTATTATTATTATTATTATTTTTCTTAAATGTAAATAGATATAAGCTCAAATGAGGCAATAAAGTGATATTATTATTATTATTATTATTTTCCTTAAATATAAATAGATATAAGCTCAAATGAGGCAATAAAGTGAATTAAAATAAGTAAGGCTTCCACAGTGTGGAATCTGCTCTTCTCCCTCTCCAGTATGTGGATGTCATCTAGTGGCGTTGGCAGCTGCAAGCATTGCTAGCTATGTGATGGGCCAAATGGTCCATCAACTCTCTTAAATGCATGCAAAGTAGCTCTAGTATCATTCATTCATTTCACTAGTCTACTTGTATTTCCGGCGAGGATTTTTTTGTTTTCATAAAACTTTTTGTCACCTTTATCAATAAATGATTGCCCTTTTTTTTTTGTTTTAAATAAAATAAAGAATATTTAATATTTTAAAATATATATATTTTAAAAAATATATTTTTTAGAGAAATTTAAATACATACCACACTACTCCTTTCTATTTACATATTTTAATACCTAAATTTTGATATTTATATTTATAATATTTTGTTGTCATTAACTAATGCTTGAAAATATGTATGTCACTTTCAAAAATTTATAGTAATGGTAATTCTTATATTATATTAAAGATTTGAATGCCATGTATATAAATCAAAAATGTTTGGAGTTTGATATTTAAATCCATCAGACTTGTATGGTATGTAAGTAAATGCCGCTATTTTTTATTTTTATTGAATGTGCAAGTAGTTAATTTACGTCCTTGTCGATGGTTCTTAGGTGATGGCAATGGTGGTGATCATTATCTATGATGGCAGCAGGGCCACTGATTATGATAGATACTGTTAAAAACACACAGAAGATTGAAAATTATTGAATGATTTTAAAAAGAGTTTAAGTTTTTAAAAAATAAAAAAAATAAAAATTAGTTAGTTAATGAAGTTATGTATATTCCTGAATAGGAACATTTACTTGCCAAACACTCAGTTGAATCCTGAATTTTCTTTTGAAATACACGCCTTGAGAGTTAGAGTTGGGAGAGAAAAAGGAGAGAGAGAGAGAAGAAAAGTATTAGGAAATTCTAGCTATCAGTAGAGAGGCTTGGAAAAAATCGCAGATCGGGGTTCCTTTATTTGTCTTTTTGCCCTTATTTATAGGGGCATATTCATACAATTAAAGAAAGAAGGGACGTGTATGAAACTTCCCTTAATGCAATCAATGTATTGATTTAATACTAAATTTGTATTACATTTTAAATTCAGGTATGACGATAATCAGCTAACCGACATGTTTCGGTTATGTTGACCAAAGCGATGGGCCTTGCAGTAGTCATTTGGTCGGTTGCGATAGTTCACTACAAAAGGACTTACACCCCGTATGGGTTGGGGAGCATTCTAACACCCTAAACGCACTAGACAACCTCCTATGTAAAAAGAGCTATGTTGGGCAAGTCAGGTTAGAGAAGCACAGTGGCTTCTCCTCAAAACATGCAAATATGATGCAATTATTTACCACAATCCTAAATGTGGAGGCCCTATTAAACATGATTGGGTATATGTCTCTACATGCAACCCATTTTAAATTCGACCCGAAGGCCATGCAGAAAAAAAAAGGTTTTGAAAAGTCCTGAATCTTTTAATCCTTAAATTTTGATTATCTCAATCTTTTATTATTAGGATTTTAAATAAAAAAAATTATAATATTACAGTCATTCCTACCGAGGTATAAGTGGTCAGTTGGTTGTTTGTATTTGACCGTCTTTTAGGGATCGTCAGCGGTCGGGATCTTAGATAGGCATGTCAACCAGATTCACCGATAATGGATGACGGTAGAGTTGTTCAGTTTGTTGATCTCTCAGATGACCGATTTAGATCACGCCCCTTGAATTTAATGCCTCGATATTTAAGTCATCATCTTTAGCTGTTTGGTTGCTTTGAGATTTGTGCCAATAATTTTGGTGTGTACATATTAGTTCCCAGAGTTTTCCTGCTCATTAACAGTAACAATTATGATAAGGACATGGAAATTATTAAATAATCAGCATCAAAGTTAAGAATTGATTGAACAATTGACTACCTCTTTGGTTCTGTGTCTAGTCTGCTTTGTAAACAAAGACATAGATTTAGTGCTGCATCCTTTACCACTAGTCTTTTCCACATAGCTGACATACAAAAATTTTACGTCATTTTAAATTTTAAATTTATTTATTTAACACATAATTACGCTTGAGAAACGTGTTTTGTTCATGTTGTGCAGAATGTAAGAATTGAATACAAACAAGATAGAACGAGAAAACCCGACAAGAAAGTGTTGTGGGGCGACGTGACCACGCCTAAGTCAGTGTGACTATGCCATTGCTTGAAAATGATGACGAGGCCACGCCAGAAAATAACATGACCACACCATAGATTGCAGTAAAGCGGCATAAGAATGCCACAATCGAGCGTGACCATGCCCACCATAGTAGAAGAATGACATGACATTGCTGGAAATGGATGTGACCACGCTGACAAGCGGGAAACACTTTAGGAAGGAAATTTGATGGCCCAAACTATGAATTCTTGCTATAAAATCAGATCTTAGGGCTTTGGCATCAGTGAATGCTTGGAGGCTAAAAGAAGAAAGCATGGAAGAGGATTTGAGGGATCTCTTGAGGGATTCCTTCCTCCTTGGGTTGAAATCTTCAATGGAGAGTATTTCGTTACTTTGTGAGTTGTGAGAGATTTGGTATGAGAGGAAAAATTATTGACTTTGCCGAGGAAACAATTTATTGTAAGTTTTTCATCTATATGTTGTTTGTAATGGAATTTCATGTGGTGTTTTTTACTATGCTTTTCTCCATAATGAGCGGTTAAACTTTTCTTTGTGTCTTTGTGTTGTTGAGTGTAGTGGACTTATCATTGGTTTTTTGTAATGTTTTTATGTTAATCATTTTCTTGAGCTTTTCATGGCTAATGTTGTTGGTTAACCTCTGATCTTTATGTACTCCCAGTCTGACCAACTAGGAAGTTTCAATGTTTCATAAAACTACAACCTCTAACTGTTGTGTAGTAGAAATGAAATGTTAACCACATAGTTATGAGAGAACAAATATATTCTACTGGAATTTTTTAATTATCCCAAGGGATCAGAAAAGTCATGTAAAATGTCATTGGGTTTTAGAAAGTCTTTACTTCATGGATTATATGCTTCATTTCACCTAGAAATAGACATGAGGAGTACCTTGTCCCTGATTGAAAACAATTACGTAGGAAAAAATTTCAAACAATCATGATCGCCACGATCATCGAATCATAGAGCCACGAGCCTCGTCTATTTTGAAGGAATTCATGATTTTTTTCCTCAAGTTTTCCACTTTCCTTTACTGCCAAGTATTTTGTTTTTCTAGGACCTTAGTATTTAAACCTTCTTTTGATAATCTTTAAGCTAGGTTAACTAAATTAGTAAAACTATAACTTTTCTGTAGAAACAAATATTACACTTTCTTTTTGGGATTGATATGCAGCACTCTTGAATTACATTACTATTTGACACGTGCACTTGCGTTGTACGACCAACTTACTTCCCAGTAAGTTTTGACGAATCATGTTTTTTGCATTCTTGCCCGGTAGAGGCTTTAATAGTTGTTTCTACTATTAGAAAAACTTTAGTTGAAAAATTTAGGATTTATGTTTGCCATATTTATTTTCTTATTTTTGTTTTGTGATTTTTTCTTTCTATCTTACATCTGTAGTATTGTTGTTTTCTTTGCCGGTGCTTAAAAATTAAAAAGCTAAAAAAACAATAAAAAAGATAAAAATATTTTGTTGTTAATTTATTTCCTGATTTTATTTTGCATATTATGTGTTGCATTTGTATGTTAGTTTGTTAACTGTCCTATGTGAGTCAGTGTGTTGTTTATTTGTGTAAGTAGTTATTAATTTTCCTATTTATGTTTAGGGGAGTTGAGGCTGACATCGCCTCTTTTGAACCCTGAGATTGATCACACCTTTAGACATCTTAGAAGATCACACATGACCTCTGAATCAACTATTGAGATGGATAAACCTAATTCATCCACCATGAAACCACTTAGAGATTATGCTAACCCTTCTGCTGAAGTGATTCACACAAGCATCAACTATCTCAAGGTTGAGGCTAACACTTTTGAATTGTGTTCTGCCATAATCCAAATGGTTCAAAATAATTATTTTGGGGGACTTGCCACTAAAGACCCCCAACCTTCACTTAGCCAAAATTTTTGAACTGTGTGCCACCTTTTGGTACAATGGTGTCCCTAGTAATGTTGTTAGACTAAGGCAATTTCCCTTTTCCCTTAGGGATAAGGCTAAGGTATGGCTTAGTTCCCTTTCCCCAGGATCAATCCCGACTTGGAATAGCTTGGCTAAAAAATTTTTGGCCAAATAATTCCTCCATCTAAAACTGTAAAATTTAGGAATGACATCACCTCATTCACTCGAATTGATGGAGAGTTCATTTAAGAGGCCTGAGAGAGTTTCAAAGAACTGCTTAGAAGGTGCCAACATCATGCCCCACTCGATTGGTTAATCATTCAAACTTTTTACAATGCTCTAATAAGTTCTCTGAGATTCATAATAGATGTCGCAACATGAGGATCACTAAGGTCTAAAACTTTTGATGAAGCCTTCCAATTAATAGAAGAAATGACCAACAATAGATTTCAATGGCCTGCTAAAAAAGTGACACACCAGAAAGTAGCTAGTGTTCATGAATCAAATGTCTTAGCTATCCTGGCTGCCCAAGTTATTGCAATTTATAAGAAGTTAGACAATCTGGGAATGAATCTGATTGATGGATTGTCACCCAACAATTGGTTAATGCAAGGACCGGTGATAGATTATAACATCTCAACCTTAGAATATATAAATGTCATAGAAAATCATGGTCACAACCTATATTCCAACACCTACATCCCAAACTAGAGGAACCACCAAAATTTATCATTGAATAACAACAACCAACAATGGGGAAACAATCAGAACAATCATGTATGTAGTTTGCAAAACCCAGGAAACCAACCCCAGAAACCTTAATACTCACCAGGATTTCAGAGTAGCTCCCAAAACCAAAAGAAATAGTCTATCGAGAAATTAGTCATTCAAATGAGAAACCCATATAGAGCTAAGTTGTAGCCATCAAGAATTTGGAAACACAATTAGAATAGCTGGTGAGCTCCATCCCCCAGGAGCACTACTAAGCAATGGAGATGTAAATATCAAGGAAAAAAGGGCCGAACAAGTCCATGCTGTTAAACTGAGAAGTGCAAAAGAATTAGAAGAGACTCCTAGAAGGGGAAGATCTAATGGACTTAGACCAGCCTCTAGAGAGTGAACTAGAAAATCAGAGGAATGAGGTAGTGAGACAAGTCTCACCCATTAAGGTTGACCCCAAAGAGAGACTTCAACCACCTTTTCCCTAAAGACTGAAAATAGAGAAAAAGGATCAACAGTTTTATAGGTTCTTAGAAGTGTTCAAACAACTGACAATTAACATACCTTTTGTTGAAGCTCTAGAGCAGATGCTTAACAATGCCAAATTCATGAAGGATATCTTGACTAGCAAGAGAAGATTGAGGAATTTTGAGACTGTCCCATTAACTGAGGAATGTAGCGTTATTTGCAAAAGAAAATTTCTCAAAAGATGAAAGACCTAGGAAGTCTTACCATTAGGTGAAAGTTTCTAGGAAGAGCTTTGACTTATGAGCCATTATCTATTTTTAACCTAATCTCATTATCTATTTTTAAAAGACTTCAGTTAGGAAAATTTCAGGCAACCAATTTAACCTTACAGTTAATAGATTTATCTTTAGCCTAACCAATGAGAATAATTGAGGATGTGCTCGTAAAGGTGAATAAGTTTATATTCCTTGCCGACTTTTTAGTACTTGATATGGAGGAAGATAAGAAAATGTCATTGATAGTGGGGATACCATTTCTAGCCACCAGAAGAGCAATGATTGACATTCAAGGGGGAATACTGACCATGAGAGTGAATAACCAAGAAGTCACATTGGACATTTCACAATCAATGAGGTTCCCCAATGATTCTAACAAAGATCAAAGCCACAGAATTGACATAATGAACTAGGTCATGGCAGCGATGTGTCATTGACTAATTCTAAGACCTCTACGAAGGTCCTTAGTTTGAGTAGATTCAAGTCATACCTGAATCGATTGCTACTGATCCCTTGCTTTAGAGCGGTCCGAGCGATGAGAGGCTCCAAGTTCTTCACCTCCAACATTTCCTTCTGGAAAAGGGTAATGTAAGCCTCTAGGCTTTCATTTTCTCCTTGTCTGATTTAGAGAAGGGTCTCTATATCCTTTCTTGGCCTCTACACATTGGCGAAGTGTGCCAGGAAGAGTTTTCAGAATTCCAAGAAGGACGGGATGAATCCGTCTAAAACCACTGGAGTGCAATTTTCTTTCAAAATGGTCAGAAAAAGCCTGCATTTCATGGCATCATCGATCTGCAAGACTCTGACCATTGACTCAAAAGAAGCTAGGTGGTCGGCTGAGACGCTCCTCTCTATTAAAGTGGGGAATCCTTAGCTCCATTAGGGGTATGGTTTTCAGGATTTTTCGGGAGAAGGTGCTACCCATAGCCAGCCGAGTAAACGTTCTCAGTCGGTCCACCTGATGTTGGACTGCTGATGTAGATGCGATGATGTATGCCACTTGGGAATCTCCTGGCCTTTCGGGTAGCTAATCAACGGGCCAACCATTAGACACTGAAGGATTGTGGAGGGGAGCCTTCTAAGGGCTGGTTCCCTGAGACTCTCCCTCCATTGGTGGCAGTCAAATGTACTATTAGGCCATGACCGACCAAAGAGCCTCGAACTGGTCCATTATTTACGCTTGCAATGCCTGGACTTCTTTCTGTATGTCTCGATACATCGTCTCTCTATTGAATTCCATGGGTGTTATTTCTCTCTGCAAAACTTCTTTGTTGTAGTTGACTATGCTTCTCGTCTGGGGCATGTCTATGCTCATTGCACCACCTTTCAAGATGTTGAATCGTGAATAGTCTTTCAGAAATACACGCCTCAAGAGTTAGTGTCGGGAGAGGGAAGAGGAGAGGGAGAAAAAAAGTGATAGGTAGTTCTCAGTAGAGAGGTCGGGAAAAAGTTCATAGACCGAGGTT